ATAATATATTATTCAGCAAGTAATAAAGGGTAAAGAGATCCCTCAAGAATTTTTTTCTCATAGACCAATGTTTAAGTTTATGCTTCTCCCCTTAGGACATCTCTTGTGTAGTAGTTCTCAATTTAATAGGCAGCACTTGAATTCAATCTCAAGAATATGAGATCAAAAGACATACTTCTCATATCTCACAAGTTATAAGGAAAATTTTATAAGAATATAAACAGCATAAAAACCGTTAGCACAAATAAGGTTCTCATTTCAACCTATGTTCAGGTGCAAAATATTTTAAACCTCCCATGTATTTTGTGATTACTAATAAACTCAGGTTTATTAATGTTTATTTTCATTACTTTTCGTTTACTTTGTCAGAAGTTTGCTTTATAATATTCATCTGTGGGAAAAACATGGGGAATGATATTACCACAATAGGTCTCCATGTCTGGAAAGGGCATCTAGCAACATGACATTCCTAACAGATGTCAATTGTATATAAATACCATTGTAAAGGCAGAGATCAGGATAACTCAGGCAAAATGAGCCTGCAATCAAAAGTGCACGGGAAGGGCATTTCTCTCTTTTGATACAGTGGACGAGTGCAGTGTCATAGCTAATTTTGTAAATCATCACAAAGTCTGTGCAGCAAATGGGCTGAAGAATCGGGCTGTACATCCAGGCTGCCTGGGATCGAATCCCCGCTCTGTCCCTTAGTAACCGTTAAAACCACAGCACAGCATTTCTCTCTGCTGCCATTTCTCTAGCTGAAGAGCAGGTGAAGAGTGGCCTTGATCTCACAGGGTGGTTTCTGAGGAGTGATTGAATAAACACCCCAGAATAGGCAGTGCACGGTCTAGCACACCATAAGTATTTGAAGACTGTTAAATATTATCTAGTGCTCAGTTGTTCCATTTGTAGGTAGCAAGTGTTCTAGATACATAAAGTGCCGAAATCTCCATTTGACTGAATTTTCTGTTGAGGGAACATAAAGCAACATGTTTGTTTGACTTAAAGGTTTAAATCTCTCTTGTCATCTCCAACTGAGTTCTCGTTTATGAAGAAAATAACCTCACTTTTAAAAAATGCAACTGGGAAACAGAAAAAAATATCAGCAGTGGTTCTTCTGATAAAAATATTAAGCAAAAATGTAAGAAATTATTTGTACTTAACATCATATCAGATAGCCTATATCTTCATAGCTTTTAGGAGAATTGAATCAAGAGGTAACCCTAGGGTTAATTGTAAAACAGAAAAAAATAGTCCTCATTCCCATCGTAATATCTTTTCAACTGTCTAAGAGTCAGAGTCATCCAGGCTTGAAGAATGCCAGTGAAGATGTTAATTTGGTGTTATTCCTTCCAAATATGGTCTCATTTTTTAACGGAACCTTCTCAAAAAGGAAAGATGTGAAGCTGGTGTAGTGAAGAAACACTGTTTAGCCCAGTTACTATGACTACATTTCTGACAACTGCCTTTCCTTCTCCTCCAGCCATGCTTCTCTTGTCTTCTTTGGTTCTGACTTGGCTAGGCCAATGATCATCTTTTACAATTTTGAGTTTGGGGCAGAGAGAGACAAGGGAATTTCTTTTCTGTGGTAAATCTGGAAGTTATTAGCTTAGCAGCCCCTGGAAGCCATGTTTACTTCACACAGAGAAAGCTCCCTTGCCAGGAGAAAAGAATGACAGTAATAGGTAGACACTGGAGAAGAAAGAGTTTGGGAAACATTAGATCTGCTGTTTCCAATCTGAAAACATTGGTTCCACCAGACTTACTGTCATGGTAGGTTTGAGAAAGAGGCCCAAGCAGTTTTCCTTGTCTTCTCATTGCCTTTAACTCCTGTTTGGGGTTCAGAAGACAACTCTTATGTTGTGCTCTAGAATCCTCACAGCCCTGCATTTTTGGACAGATACGTTATGACCACTGATTCCATCCTCAATGGTGTTTAGACAGCATCTCACGAAACACCCAGGCTCTGCACTTCTTAGTGGATTTCTTGGATGTACTTCTGTGGATTTTCTGTACTGTTGTGGATTTCTTGGATGCCACAGGATGGGACTCAGGTCCTGTGTACAGACTACAGAAATCCCCTTTGAGTCACTGTTAACTGTTGAGCAATGGGAGTCAATGGATAAAGGCTTTCTCCTTTCCCCTAGGACGTATTTCCTAAGGATCTCAGTATATCTCAGAGAGACTGAGCTCCAGGAGCCAGATACCCTGGTGTAAGTGTGGGTGACCAGCTTAGCAACTCTTCTTTATGTTGGCTTTTCCTCTTTTTCTCTTTTTCCTGCCCTGTACTACAGTTTCAGGGGTCATCTTCCCACATAAACTCTAAAGAATCTTTTAGACAGACTAAGATTTTTCAAAGAAATTAAGACATGTAGGGGAAGTGGGAAAGGTAAGGGGAAAGTAAATAAGGGAAAAGAAAAAATATGAGAAAAGGAAAAAAATGGAAACAAAGTCTTTCTAAATAGGGAAGGGTGGAGAGGGTGAAGGGTGGGCAGGGGTATGGGGAAAATGAGAACCAAGATCTGTTATGTAAAGGTACAAGATTCCAATGATGAATGTAATTGTACTGTATACCTAAAATGTACCAATAAACTCAATGAGAAAAAAATCAAGACATCCACTGTTCTTTAAGAAAAATTTTTCATCATAACCAGCTTTAAAGATTTAGAAGAGATTTAATTTCTAGGCTCAGCTAAGTGGTTAGCACATTGTCACTTTGTCAAATTAAGTAGCCTCTGCCTCAGTTTATTTGTATATAAAATGGTGGCACTGGGCTCATTTCTAAGGATCCACTCGCTGCAAAGATTCTATGATTTGAAGAAAAGCCTAGTGTCTCAGAGAAATGCATCTCTGGTGGTGGATATGTAGACACTGGGATCACTGGTTCCCGCAGCATGGATCTGCAGCCCGCCAGTCCTCATGACCCTGCCAATGCCATGGCAGAGTAAGCTCCTGCTTTTCAAGCGTCCCCTAATCCAGGGAACCAGGGGCCGTGATCCTGGCTGCTTTTGAGAGGCGAGCTTATATATTAATCTTTCAGCATATCTAAACCTCTGAACCATCACCAAAAGTGTTTAGATATAATTAGTCAAAACTTAATGATATTCCCATGGAAAAATCAGAAATTCTATAACATATTGTTATTATTACAGGTATTATTTTCATTTGTGAAAACTCAGGTTTCATAGACTCAGTTTCTGCCGCTCAGTTTCAATGCTGTCAAGCTTGAGAGGTTGACTTTGGCCCTTTCCTCATCCTTTTTTTTTTCATTGCTCATCAGACTTCTCCTAGGGCCCCTTGAAGACTCACATGCACATATTCGCCAGCACCTCAGTCAGCTTGAAGAACTCTGAACCTTGAATCAGCATCTGACTTTCTTGGTTTTGGTGGTAAGGACTGGTTGAGCCTTCAGTTCTTTCCACTTGACCGTTTTTCTGGAAATCTGACCAGCAGAAGTGAAATAAAGGTTTCAAATAATTAGATGGCTTTAAAAAGGAAAGGCATGTGGGTAAAGGCCTGGAGGCCCAGCAACTCCGGAGCCTGACGCAGTTAGATTGCAAGTTGGAGCCCAGCCAGGGCAAAATAAGTAAAATGAAATGAAATGAAATAAAATATAAAATAAAGGGCTGGTGACTATAGTAAAGCATTTTTCCAGCATGCACATAACCCCATATTCAATCGCCAGAGCTGCAAAATAAAAAATAAAAAAATGAAAACATGAATCTTAACAATTGTTTAATATCTCGGACCATGATAAACAGTGAGCTTATTCATCACGTGGTGAGAATTAGCACACAAAATCATAGCAAGGAACTGAGAAGTCAAGCGGTAGGGAATATATTTAGCTTTCCTAGTATTATCCTTGGGTCATGGAAAAGGAGAGATGGCAGAGAATTCAACAATAGGAAAGAGAAAGAAAGACACTAGAACAAAGACTATCTAGATGATTGAAGTTTTTAGACAAAAGTAAATCTCCAGTTTATTGTTTGATCCACCGAAAACTGAAGAGGTTTATCCTATCCTCTGTACTCAGTGGCACTGGGAAGGCAGTGATGTGTAGTCAATGTTTTTTATGGATCCCTAAGTATTTTAAAGAAATACTATACTGCCATATTTTACATGAATTTGTGGAAGTGAAAGCAAAAATAGAAATAATAGGAAAAACAAAAATTCAGTTAAGAGATAAATCTTTGTTTCGGAAACTAAAGCAACAAAAACAGAAATAAAGAAATTTTGCAGTGCATGTGTTACCTCCTATTTTTTCTAATCGCGTTAGGAATGTGAAGAAGATCAAAGGAAAATGCACTGTGTTTGGCCAGGGCTGGTTTGCCCCACAAGCAGGAGAGCAGAGTCTCCACTGTGAGGGGAAAGTAGAGAAAAATTTGCAATAAAGCAGGGTTCTCTTTGATAAGCTGATTCGAAATGTTGCAAGCAGTAAAACAACTAAAAGGAAACTGCTGGAATTTTCATACCAGTTTGAGTAGTGTCCTTTGAAAACGAAACTGATTTTGACTCAGCTATGAGCCTTGTGGCAGCACCCAGCCTCTTCACTGTAGTTTCTGGAGTCTTCCTGGGGCCTTCATGCAGAACAAGGACACCATGAGGGAAAGTTAAACGAACCCGGCCCAGTCCCTAGTTCTCTTCAAGTTAGAACTGCCTCTAAAAACAAATGAAGATTCTACTTTCTAGGCCATTCCACTTGATAGTTCACAGTAGATGAACGAAAAGGGCGAGGTATATTTTAAAGTAATCCAGGATTGCTGAACAAAAGCAAAGTAATTAATTCCTCAATCTAAAAATTAAGGACTTCATTATTGCTTAATATTTGTCACTGTGCAAACTACACACTAATCAACTGTGGGGTCTTGATGACTTAGTGTGTGTTCTTTTTGTTTGTCTTTATGGCCACATTCCTACCCCGAAGATGTTTCAAACAATCTTCTCCATTTGAGGAAACAACTGTTGAAATAAATCTGAGATATATCCCGAGGCCTTCCTATTTTCTTATGGAACATTAAGTAGTTCCCCTTCAAAGAAAGAATAGCAAGGCAGAGGCATCCCATGCAGTGTGACTAATCCTATGTTTTTTTACTGCTGAGTTTGGCTCCCAAGAAATCCTTTTAAGAGTTTCTTTGGAGAAACTTGACTATCTCATTTCTCTTGGTGATTGCTCTCTTGACTTCCTGTTGAGTTACACAACAGCTATGAATTTCCCCTCCCCAGAAAGGTGATCTTTTAAAGCAGGAATTTTCCTTCAAGTCATTAAAATAACTAGGAAATAGTTAAAAGTATTAATAATATTTCAGAGGCATTTACATCATGTACTCTACAAAACAAATGGTTATCGCAAAGGTAAAAAAATCGAGTATTAAAGTTCCAGTGATGTTTTAATACTGAATGAAACGCTCTGAGGAATCAGAGGGCCTGCTTATTGCATAGCCTACAAAATTTATCACACTCCAGGGTGTAAAGCAAAGTAAAGAACTTTATTTTCTGTGTTATGTATTTCAGTAAATATGTCTGTGTCCTTAAAAGGATAATAGTTTTAAAGACCCTAAAGACTTTAGGTTCCCTAAAACTCTCACATTTCAGTATAGTTGCAACTTGTCCGCACAGGAAAAATCCACATTTTCCACAGAATTAAAAACCTATGATTTCATCAGTTTCCCAGATTTACATTAACAGTATTTGTAATTAACATTGATAAAGTGGGCACATAAATGCTACAAAGCTAAAGTCTTGCCTGATTTCCTTTTTTCTTATTAGGAAGAGAAAGAATTTAAGAGCTAAGAAATAGGGCTCCCCTTGAAAGAAATTTGATTAAAATGAGCTTTGAAATTCTATTGATTTTATAGGTCTCCCTACCACCACTTAACTGTCAATTCCAAAACTTAGCTGTGAGAAAGAGATTGTTACATGTAACTCAGTCCTGACTTTTCTAAAATCCCTGCTGTCATTGCTCAACCACTCAATTTGAATCTTGTCTAACAAGATTTCTGAAGACTGGGTGTGGGGGAATCCAGCTGGAAAAATGGAGAACAAACATTTCAAGGTTTCTCAGCTTTGTCGGGTAATGGAGGAGAAGAGCCACCAGGACTTTTCTCTTTCCATTCAGAATTGAGGTAGGACCACCTGGGATTTCCGGTTTTAGAATACAACTCTTTGGACAATCAGAAAATCTCTGAGCATCTGTCTCCCATGGCAGGTAGGTAAATTAGTAATATTAAGCAATTCTAAAATAGGAAGTGGGTTATAAGATATGTCAATGTATGACGAGCATAATTTGTTCAGGTACCATTTTCCCAGAGGAGTCTCATCAAGGTCTGGTCCTAAATGCTTGCGAGCTCACAGCCCTGAAATACCTACTTCCCACAGATTTGGGAAAATGGAGCATCATTATCATGCCCCCTTATTTAACTCCAAAGCCCAGGAAAATGATTTGTTTTAATGTTTAAGTCTAAACCTCCGGCAGCAATATTTTTTCAGGTAATAGCTTCCATTCACGTTGCTCACAGTTCTTGAATCCTTCAGTTTTGCCACTTACGATCCTCTCTTTCTGTAGACTTTCTGAGCTTTACATCTCACCATATGCAGCCCAAATTAAATTAATAAAGTGAAAATGGTACATGAGGCCTTTGGGATATGTAGGCAATGCTAAACCCAACTGTAGCCTTGTTCACAAGATACATATAGTTTTTTCTGAATTTTCCATAAACAATAATGACAGAATATTGTTAAAGTTTCCAAAATTTAATTAAAATTCTTCTTGTCTATTTTTTTTTTCCTTGAGACAGGTTGTCTCCACGTAGTTAAGACTGACCTAGAAGTCACTATGTAGCCCAGGGTTGTCTTGAACTCACAGCAATCCTCCTGCCTTAGCCTCCTGAGTGCTGGGATTACAATCATGTGCAACCACACCTGGCTTCTTGTCTGTCTTGTGTGTGTGTGTGTACCGGGGCTCAAACTCAGGTCCTCGCACTTGCAAAGCAGGCTCTGGTACCACTGAGCTAAATTCCCTGCCTTTCTTGTCTATGTTTGATAAGATTTTCAGTTGCTAGAAGACAACATTATTTATTCATCATTTCAGGATCTTAAGCTTTCTGCTAGGTCCTTTTACAACCCAAAATATACATAATAAAAAGCCTAAAATCCTTTCCTGGAATAGATTAGATAATTTTATATGTGTTTAATTTGTGTAACGTAGTAAGACTGAATGAAGTTCAAATTTAGAATGGCCTGGATTTGATTCTCAAATCACTGCTTGTAAGGTGTTTGTCCTGGGGAAAATTTTCTCATCTGAAAAATGGGGTGATATTATCTATCTTACAAGATCCTTGTGAAGATTAGACAGTTTGTTATATATCCAGAGTCCGTTCATCTTTCTGCCTTTGCCAATGAAATGATGCCCATGTAGAGCCCATTCAGAGGAGAGGATCCTCACTCCTGCCTGTGACCCAACTTCAATAATCAACATGCCCACCATGTGGCTGAAGATAGTTTCATAAGTAGATTGCAACCGGGTGAATGAATAGGAGGACTTTGGTTGACTATATCAAGACAGAAGAAGAACTCCTTCCAACAGATAAGAAACAGAAAACATGTGACTTTGGGTACTTTAAACAAACAGCAATCAACAGAAGCATTAATGCTCAAGCCCTACCTGATGGCTAGATGTCCAATTACTTAACTCAACAAATTCCCTTTGACTAAGCCACTTTCAGGATGGTTTTCTTTTCATTTCTTCTGTAACTCACATGTTAAACACACACAGGACATGATTAATGTTATTTTTTGTTGTTTCCTATACTCCTTTATGTATTAGTTAAAAGGTGAAAAATTTCACCCATGTCACTATGTGAAAACTACTCTGAGGCTAGAGAGTCTTATAGTCATTTTATATTACAAGATACAGTCTCACTTCTCATTTTAAGATATTGTACAACCCTTCAATCTTCATTCAGTCTATTCATTCTTCTACCTAGCCTGTAACTGGTGAGCTACCTGCCTTCTCTTCTCATCCTGTCCTTCTCAACTTATGTTGTCTGATCTAGGTTACAGGTAATTAGGAAAGAGAGGTAGGAGGGCTGAGTGAATTAATTGGCTTCTATTTGGCTGGTGTTTGGTTTTCCACTTTTTGTGCCACACATACAATGTAAGCAATTGTCTTTTGTGGACACACCCTGGACACTTCAGAAGTCGCCACTTGTCTTGTCTTCTTTGGCCACAGTTTCCACGACACATGAAAAGCACATCTCCTTTGGTGTATCTTTTGCCATCAGATTCTTTTCCACTGGCTATTTTCACCACAGTGAGTTGGCAGTTGGAATTTCTTCCTGCTATTGTATAAATCTTATTGATTATTTTCAGCCAATATTTGATGCTCTGAGATCATCCCCAAGTATGAAAAGTTATAAGAACATAAATTCATATTTGAAAATATTGATTAGGAACTAACTTGTCATTTTTTTAAAAAATTACAAGAATAGTCAAACATCAGAGAAAATCTATGTTGCCTGACCCAAAAAAAAAAAAAAACTCCTCCTGCCCAAGAAAACACATAAATAAAAGTGAAAAAATAAAAAGATAAAAAGGCTCAACTAAGTTAAGATATGGAATTTGGCAAATCTGTTCCTATTATTGTTGATAGATGAGCTAGGTAGAAATACTACAGGCAGTCAGATAGGGCTAAATCCTCGAGAGGGCCAGGTCAAAGGTGAAACACACCACAGCTGCTCGTTGGCTGAAAACCAGGCCTCAAGATGGAGACAAGATAACCAGACCCACATACAGGTTCAAATAACTAGGCTTAGTGAAGTATAGAGAGGCATTGACCACCCTGGGAGTGACCAGGAAGGACCCACCGCCTCCTAGGAGAACCCTTGTGCAGGCACACACAAATTATTTTATTTTGCTGGTGCTCTTGCATCATAAAAGCAGAAGTAGGCTTAGTATGATCAGTATTCTTAAGTATTTGTCATATGAATTAATAACTAAACTTAAAGAAAATACTCATTCTTTTTACAGTCAAGTTTAGTTCATTCAGAAACTAGGATCTGTCATGGATGGTTTCTTTCTGATGAGAAATCAGTATAATTTCCCCAGGCTGCGAGGGAAAGGAGACTGAGTGCTTCCTCTCCTGGGGACTTCATATGTTTAGGGATTTTCCTGCTAATGAGCTCATCATTGCCTGGTAACTTTTCAGGCCACAAAGGTCCTCCACCCTATGGCCCCTTTGTCACCACAAGGCTCCTCAAAGAAATACCCAAGAAGTCCCCGGGTATGCTGAAGCCATCCCTTCCCTCTTCCTGCTACCCTGGAGTCAGCATCGACTGCTCCCTGACAGATATCACAAAGGGCTGCGCACCAGGAGCAGGAAAGGTAATGATGTGTGTTTGTCTTATGGGCGCGCTCACATTTCCAACAATTCCAACAATTGAAAGGAGTCATTAAACCATAACAAAAGCTCCATAAAAAGAAACTGTTAAACTATAAAATGAATTAAAAAACTGTCATTAGGTGTAACCCAAACAGTCTGTGTGTGGTTTCTCAGAATGACAAGTAAACAATAAACACTAAGTGTTGTCAAGTAGCTTCAACAAAAAGTGTTTCCATGCATGTGCAAATGGGGAGAAGTGTGGCAGGAAACACCAACTTCTGGGAGCCCTGTGGACAGTCGCAGGCTTGGGGAAAGAGCCTCCCACCTGATAATGCGGCCTTTTTTCCTTCTTCAGTTAGGGTGACAAGAATTCTTTCTTTCTAATTAAATATCCAATGGGCTTTCACTTCCTTTTGGCTGCTTAGAGGCTTTGAAAGGATTCCTGTGAGAACAAGTCCCCTTTTAGATCATTTTAGGGGCAGACTTTTTGAAATCTAGTAACAGCATTCACAGGATTTATTCATAAAATGGGAAATCCCTTTCCACAGTATTTCAAGATTACACAAAAGTAAACACCCAGGCTATTTGCTTATTTTCTTCCTTAATCAGAAGCTTCAAATTCTGCTGCCACTAAGAGTGGGCAATTACAAAAATGAAGGAAACCAGTTGGGTATAAGCTAGGCTAAGACTGAGTACAGAGAGATGGAATTTAGGATAGGGGAGAGTGAGCACCTAGGCCAAGGATCTATTCGATTTCCAAACTTTAAAACATGGTGCTACCAGAATAAAACATATCTTCAGGCAGGATTCAACGCCCCAAGCAAGATTGAGCAGCTCATTTTAAAATTTTTATTTAATTATATTAAATTCAAACAAGTCTTAAGACAGTCAATATTCTAGCAATCAAGTTGGTTAAAAGTCCAAGTTGGGTAAATAGTAAAAGAAAAAATATCTTACTCTCTTCTCCTCATGGGGTGGTGGGAGGATACAGGAAATGCTAATCACCCATAAAAATCAACAAATATTTTGCTAACATAATGATATAGTTGAACAATTATGTTCCACATTTACTGTGACCTTTTAAAAACTCCTATTATACACTGTGGCTATGCACTAGTTATTTCGATTCATTAAACAGGCCTTTGCAAAGGAAACCAGAACAATAATAATAATATACACCCACTGTGTTTTGAGCATCTTTCTGATAAGGGTGTCAAGAAACTTTTCCAACTTTATACTGTAGTGAATATAAGATGCATCTAATCCACTGGGAATCAAATATGTAATAATTTCTTTGTCAGAAGCTAAGTATGCTGCATTTACTTTAACTGTTTACACTGATCTTAGCACCAAGTACCTAGCAAATATAACCTTAGAGTCTAGGTCTAAAGATACATGTTTTCCAAATGAAGAAATACAGAGTACAATAAGCTAGTTTACAGTAATAGCTCAGGCACTAACCAAATACAATATCTATTTTCATTATAGTAATAATTCGGTTATTATGATTATCTGAAGTTGATTATTCTACATTCACAAAGAAAATAAGGCTCAGAGAGGTCAAATGACATGACATAAAAAATAGCCCAAAACTAAACCTCAATTGTGAGGGGCTTTAAAAGTTTTCCTTACACTATACTAACTTTGAAGGAAAAATATTGTGCTTATGCCACTGCTTCAGTATCGGGGTTCCCATTTTCTGTTAATTTTATTTGCAAATGAAAATCAGTGTTCACTGTCACTGCTATGAACTTACATAGAAACTCACAGATAATGTCCTTTCTTTCTGCTTTTATTAAACTTAAACATGGCATAACTGGTGAGTGAAAAAAGACATATGCCACTCAGTAATCTTATGCTCTTTGAGCAGATTTTAGTCAGTGGTTGTGGAAGAAAAGCTAGTAACCATTGAAAAGAAAGAAAGATGGCAGCTGATGTCAGCTGAGGAAGTTGGCACAGGCAGGACTGGGGGATCTTGGGAAAAAAAGATGAGTGACTGTCAAAGGAGCTGCAGCACCCTCTTCTCAGGACTTGAAGTTACGTATCATCCTCAAACTGTGTCTGTGACTCCCGATGTATCACCTTGACTGGATTAAGAAATGCTTAGCAGGTTAGTAAAGCACAGTTCTGGGTGTGTCTGTGCAACATTTCCCTAGGTGATTGGCACATAGGCTAGCAAACTGTTGGGAGGAAGACTCACTCCAAATGCGGGTGGCACCAACCAGTAGGCTTGGAGCCTGGATGGAATAAAAAGATAGGAAGAAGGAAGTTGGCATGTTTTTTGGAAGCCCCATTCCATTGAAGAGGTGCATCCTTTGCTGCTTCCATGGATACCAGACTCTAGTTTCTTCAACCTTCAAACATAGACTCAAACCAGTGACTCTCCAGGGAGATTCCAGGCCTTTGATCATGGACTGGTGCTGTGTGCTTGATTCCTTTTGATCTGCAGCTTCTATCTTCTTGGGCTGAGCAGCTACCGGATCCTCCAGCTCTCATGAAAAATGTAACCATGCTTACAAGGAATCCAAAACTTTCCTTTAAATTCAGTACAAAAACAGACTACTGATACTTCATAGATGGGAAAAAGTAACAAATGGCGCACCTCACAACTCACAACTTCTGACATTTCTCTTATTTTTCTTCCTATTTTTTTCTTTGTTTTGTCCATGGTAGACCCAAATGTTCTATATTGTTTTATGTTTTTGTAATATGACTTGTAGTTTCATTTCATCTATGTCATTATGCCCAAATTTTAATCTTGCAAAGATTAATATCTTTACTAATATTCTTGGAATATTGTCAAGGAAGAAAGGCTGGTTTTCATCTTAGAATAAAGAACCCTAACTTCTTTATCTGGACTCAGCACTCTGCATTTTTCTCCTCAGTGGACTTGTTTAACTCTTTCCCATTGCTCCTTACTGTTGGTTCTTTCCAGCATAATGGAAAGATACTGAGGCTTCTCTGAGTGTAACAGGAAGAAAATCCTCTTTTTTGAAAATTAAAAATAGCCATAGTTTCTGCCCCCTCATGAATCATCAAGTCCTGTTAATTCGACTTCATTAATAGCCTTTGATTTCAATTCCATCTGTCCATCTTCATTATAAGCATATCTCATTATCACTTCTACCTGAATTAATGGCTATCATACCATCTCCAAAATGATCCTCTTGCTTTTGATTTGGATGTCTACTACATCTTGATCTTCTCATGAAAATAATATTTTATATAAGAATATGATCTTTTTACCCCCTTTCTGATAAAATCCTCTAGCAAGTCCTTGTTGCCCCAAGAGCAAGTGTGACCCAGGCATTTTCAGCCTCCTGAATATACCATGCTCTCTTTGTCACAGGATTTCTGTCCTTGCTGTTCACCCTGCCTAATACTCCTTTTTTCTGCTAAACTGTTTAGTCTCAACTTGTCTTTCAGTTCTCAGGATAAGCCTCTACTCCCCTAGGAAGGCTTTACTAACGATCTGTGCCTGAGTAACTTACCCACCTCTCTTCTTCCATGCAGTACTACCCTAGTAAACCTCAAGAGAGGTGTGAACCCATACTGTAATTCCCCGCCAGCTCTCTATTGGACTTATTGAGAAGACAGTGACTCCAGCATTGTTATATCCTTAGCGCTCAAAATCCATTAGAAAGCATTAAAAATATCAATTGATTCAAATTAAATTTCTTGTCTGGAAATCTGAGCCTAATATTATGCTAATAAACCTGAGCTATCCACTTTTTGGGGCACTTTGAGTCCCCTCCTTATAATCTGACTAGGGGGAATAGTCCCTGGGAGTGAATCTAATTACCTTTGCTAGTTTCCTTCTCTGGACCTACAACTTTATCTAGCAACTGTGTTCTAGTGGACACAACCATATTCCTCAGTGACAAACTTCTTAAAAAGTTTTCACTTCTAACCTGTAGATTTGAGGCAGATAAGAGTAGCACTGGCATTAAATGGGCTCTGCACATGAGCAGATTTGGATGTTAATCTTATTCTTGAATTTGCTAACTCTGTGACTTTGAATATTTTAACCTCTCTAAGCCTCAATTTGTTCCTATGTAAAATATTAGTAATACAGTCATATGTTGTCATGAAAATAAGACAACATTCTAATTCACTGATTCTAATTATAATATCTTTCATCCCTGTGCCTCCCTCTGCTATATTCTCCTCAGGAATGTATGCTTTTATAAAGGTGACCCACTGCACTTTATTTCAAATTCTGATTTCACTTCTTGCCTATTGTATCAGTCAATAGGCAAGAGAGAATGCAATATATACAAATACATAAGAATTTATAAGATTGGCTTACAGTGGCCACCCACAGAGTTGGGTGTGGAAGAGCAGCAAAGGTCTACCTGTGCACTGGAGAGCAAAAGGGTCCAGTCAAAGTTGTGGAACTCAGTGTGGTGCCCCACACCAGTCCATTTAGGGAGGCAGAGGGTTCTGCGCTGGAAGCCGGAAGACGACATCAGGCTGAAGACTAAGACTGGAGCTCCTCTGAAGAAACAGAAGAGAACCTTCCTGCTTTATTTCCCCTTTATACCACACAAGGGAAAACTCACCCCAGGGCAGGTCTTCCACACCCAGAACGAGGCTGAGCCAGATCCACATAATCAGTGAACTACCACTCCTTCCCACTGAACTTTGACATGAGGTTCAGACTGGGTCCAACAAGTATGTTGCTGGTCCCAGTAAGTGCATTAAGTCCCAGATTCCGTAATATTAGGATTACATAGGTTTGAATCTAATGTAGTAAAGTATGGAGTAAATCTTGTCTTCAACATTCGAATTAAAGACAATAAAGATTATCTTTGCTAGCACCCACTACATCATTCTAGATAATAATAGAGACCTAAATGATGTGACTTAGCTAAATAAAAATTCATTTTTCCCAAATAAAAAGATAGGTAAGAGTAGACAATGCCAGGCTGGGGTTGCCACTTCTGACTGAATTCACACTCTCAACAAGATTCTTAGTTCTTTTTGTGCTTTCCCTCTGGCAACTCCAGAAGGTTGTTTTTGGGTCACTAAAAGTAATGTGGCTCTGGACTGCACGATACTACAAAAATGTAATAGCAAAAAGAAGGGGAAAGCAGAAGCTATCATAGAAAGCGATCACCAGAGACTTCAGGGCTATTTTATTATTATCATTATTATTATTATTATTATATTTTTCTGGCACGGGGATTGAACTGGGGTCCTTGTGCTTGTGAGGCAGGTGGTGAACCCACTGAGCTAAATTCCCGGCCCCATTTCATTTCATTTCATTTCGTTAGTACATGTTTGTAATTCATGCTCTCTGGAATCACCTCAAGGAGTAGTTACACGTATATACCACAGCTTGTTATTTTTTTCTTCCCCTTTCCTCCTCTCCCCTTCTCTGGGTCCCCCGCTTCACCTTTTTTGTACTTATTGATACTATTTGTCTTAGCACATGATATGGCCTATCATGTTCACATGACTGGGGTGAGTAGGTTCCTGTTCATGGCACATCTTTATTCCTCTCACTTCCCCTTTTCCTCCCCCTTACTCCTCTCCATATTCCCTTGGACCATGTCCCTACTGGACAACATCTGTTCCCTTGTGCTTTTGCTATCTTTTTTAAAATCATTTTCTTTGTTTGTACTTTTATTGCACTCAAATCCTCCTGCTAGATATCTTCTCCAATGAGCTCAAGACATCACACTACAGTGATATTTGCATACCATTGTTGATAGCAGCACAATTCCTAATAGCTAAATCCTGGAAGCAGCTTGCATACCCATCAACAGATGACTGGATAAACCAAAAGTTGTATCTATATATAATGGAATACTACTTGGCTATAAAGAATGACAAATTTGAGGCATTTGTAGGAAAATGGATTCACCTGGAAAATATAATGTAGAATGAAATAAATCAGACACACAGAGATGTCTATTAAGATCTCACTGGCCTTCTCTACTAGGGTAACTCATTTGAAGATTCCAAGATAAAGGAGGTAACAGGTGATTATTGAAAATCTAGTCAACTCCTTTCTTCATTCATATGCAAAACAGTACTTCAAGAAAATGCTGAGGAAATGGACTTCAGAATGTTGAAAGAGCTCAGAAGAATTTCTCCCCAGGAAAACAACAATTTCAATGGTGAAAATTAAGCAATAATCTTTGAGTGTCTAGAGATTGTCCTAAAAGCATACCACAAATGGGAAAACTTTTATTCAAGGGATGTAGTCAGTCTTTTTAAGAATAGCAAGAGTCTGCCTTCTGAGCTATAATTCTTTTCATTACACACTCACCCTAAGCTCTGGGGTAAGGAAGCCTTACACTGGGCACGGGCAGCTAAGCCAGCAGGTTCCTGTCCTACAAGCTCCAGCCTGAGGCTGCAGTTTAAGCCTGGGAGATGCCGGTTGCCATTTCTCATATCCCTTATGTTGCAGATGCTCTCTTGTCGATAGACACGGCAGCACAGACTTGCTTTCCTTCTATCACTCAACAGCCTCTGCTAGGTGAAGGCACCCAGGTGGCCACACCCTATCCACTGCACAAGGGTGTAGTATCTCCCTGATCCCTGCCCCACCTCTGATACTCTAGAGTGGTACAGTCTTTCTTCCCAAGGAGAAAAGAAAAGATCTCTGGCTCAGAATGGAGAGTAGGGAGTTCTCCATCTAATTATAGTGAACTCTGGAATTCAGGATGTCTGGACTGAGATGCTAAAAAGCATCCACTTAAGAGCTATCACAGAAAAACTTGAAGCCACCCTGAAAACAGCACTCCAGATTTGATGAAATGAGTGAATAAACATAAAAGTACCAGGAAAGCGCACCTTGCAAACAATAAGCAAAAATGAGTTTATGGCTATGCTATCAGATAAAATAGACTTAAAGCAAAAAATTACTGAACAGTAAAAGACACATTTCAAAGTGACAAAACAATCCACCGATCAGGGAAACATAACAATTATAAACATGCATGGGCCTAATAACAAGGATACATGAATCAAATAAATGAAAGAACTGAAAGAAGAAATCTGCATCAACCATAATAGGGTTCTCTAGAGGAAGAAAATGCATAGAAAATATATGTATAATGGGACAAGTAGCTTTATTAGCTCAACTTAAAGGATCAGAGGTGGAAGAGTCCACAATGGGCTTCTGGATACGGAGAGCTAGAGGATCTGGTAGCTGCTCAGCCCAAGAAGATAGAAGCTGCAGATCAAAATGAATCAAGAATGCAGCATCAGTCCATGATCAAAGGCCTGGAAGCCCCCTGGAGAGTCACTGGTCATCTGCAAACAATGACAACTTGACTTCTTCATTTCTTATCTTTTTCCTTTTATTTCTTTCTTTTGTCTAATTGCTGTGGCTAATGTTTCCAAAACTATATTGAACAGGAGTGGTGATAGTGGACATCCTTGTCTTGTTCCTTATTTTAGTGTGAAGGATTTCATTTTTTGACCATTTAGAATGTTATTGGTCATTGGTTTTTCATAGATGGCTTTTATCAGATTGAGTAGGGTTTTTATCAAAAATGTGTTAGATTTTGTCAAATGCTTTTTCTGCATCTTTTGAGATGATCATATGAACTATATTGAAGGAGTGGTGATAGTGGACATCCTTGTCTTGTTCCTTATTTTAGTGTGAAGGATTTCATTTTTTGACCATTTAGAATGTTATTGGTCATTGGTTTTTCATAGATGGCTTTTATCAGATTGAGTAGGGTTTTTATCAAAAATGTGTTAGATTTTGTCAAATGCTTTTTCTGCATCTTTTGAGATGATCATATGGTTTGATTTCTTGGCTCTATTAATATAGTGCATTACATTTATTGATTTGCATACGTTGAACCATCCCTGCATCCCTGGGATGAATCGCACTTGGTTATGGTGTATGATCTTCTTAATGATCTCCTGCATTCTATTTGTGAGTATCTTATTAAGGATTTTTTTGTTTTGTTTTGTTTTGAGACAGGGTCTCACTATGTAGTTGAGACTGACCTGAAACTCACTGTGTAGCCCAGGCTGCTCTTGAACACACAGTGATCCTCCTGCCTCACCCTTCCAAGTGCTGAGTTTACAGGCATGCACCACCATGCCTGGCTTATTAAAGATTTTTGTATCTATATTCATTAGTGAGAGTGGTCTATAGTTCTCTTTTCTTGGTCTCTACTTTGGGGATCGAGGTGATGCTTGCTTCCAGGAATGAATTCAGGAGTATTGCTTCCCTTTCAATTTCATTGAAGAGTTTAAACAGGAGTGGCAGTAGTTTGTCTCTAAATATCTTGTAGAATTCAACAGTGAAGCCATCAGGGCCCAGACTTTTCTTATTTGGTGAGGGTTTTATTATTATTATTATTATTATTATTATTATTATTATATTTTCAGTTTCACTGATTGATATTGGGTTGTTTAGAATTTTTAGGTCATCTTCATTCAACTTTGGTAATTCACACCAATCTAGGAATTTTCCATCTTATTGCCATATAGGTTCTCAAAGTAGGTATTGATGACCCTCTGGATTTCTGCTGGGTCTGTTGTAATCACACCCTTTTCACTCTTAATTGCATTGATTTGGGCCTTTTCTTTCCTTTTTTTTGATAAGGTTGGTTAAAGGTTTGTCAATTTTGTTTATTCTTTCAAAGAACCAACTCTTGGCTTCTTTGAATTTTTTATATTGTTCTCTTAGTCTCCATTGCATTAATTTCTGCCCTGATCTTTTTAATTTCCTCCCTTGTATGAGCTTTGGGTTTGACCTGCCCTTCTTTTCTTAGAAGCTTGAGGTTTAGCATCAGGTTGTGTAATTGAGCTTGTTCTATTTTCCTAATATGAGTATTCTCTGCTATAAATTTTCCTCATAAGATTGCTTTCATTGTGTCCCACAGATTCCAGTATGTTGTATTGTCATTGTCATTTAATTGTAGGAGCTGTCAATTTCTTCTTTAATTTCCTCTGTGGCCCATTGGTTATTCAGAGTGTGTTGTTCAGTTTCCATGTGTTTATGAAATTCTTGCAGTTTCTTTGGCTATTGATTTCCAATTTCATCACACTATGGTCTGGGGATAACTTCAATTCCTTTGCACTTACTTAGACATATTCTATGAGCAAATATGTAGTCTATTTTGGAGAATGATCCATGTGCAGCTGAAAAGAATGTGTACTCTAATTCTGTGGGGTGGAACTCTCTGAAAACATCTGTTGAATTCATTTGTTCTAGAGTTTGAATTCTGCTATTTCACTGTTTTTGTTGTTGTTGTTGTTTTTTGTTTTTTGGTCTGGTTGATCTGTCTATCCATGACAGTGGAGTATTGAGGTCTCCCACTACTATTGTATTAGTGCTTATATGATTTTTCATGTCCATTAGTATTTGTTTTATATGGTTGGGTGCACTTGTGGTTTGGTGCATATATATTTATGATTGTCATCTCTTCCTCTTGGATTGTTCCCTTTACAAAGATGTAGTGTCCTACTTTGTCTTTCTTAATCGGTGTTAGTT